CCAGCTATTACTGGCAAGTATATTGACGATTCAGCTTCTCCTTTGCCTGATACCGCTTCAACTTCTAGCTGTGTTTCCGGTTCTGCGATCTCCACACTAGCCACATCATGTCCATGCATCCGTCCTGCCAACTACCAGCAGGTTTATGCCACCACCTGCTCTTCCTCGGATCCGGGACACCCTAAAACAGGCACTGAGGAAGCTTCCGAACCTCCCAAACCTCCCGACCCAGTCGCGCTTGCTGCAGACATCCGCCATCGTCATCGTCCCGGTCCTGTGGTCGGTGATGGTATCGGGGGCTTCCGGCCTGCAACCTCAGGCGAGTATGTTAGCGATTCCGAGCTTTCGGTACCTGATGTCCTATCGATTTCTAGTTCCCGTGATTGCTCCTCGAATGGTCTCCGGATCTACTACCATCGACTCGTTTTTCCTGGCTGTTGCGGAGGCCGAATATGATTTGATTGTTCTGACGGAAACGTGGCTGGACGACCGAATTTACTCATCGCAACTTTTCGGGTCACTCTATTCCGTCTTCAGAACTGACCGGTCTGCCCTAAACAGTCAAAAATCGCGCGGTGACGGAGTCCTGATTGCAGTATCTACTAGACTAGCCAGCTACGTAAGTACGTCACCCATTTCCAGTCAACTGGAACAGCTGTGGGTTGTCTTAGAACATCCACAAAGCAAGCTTAGTGTAGGCGCAATCTACCTGCCTCCCGACCGCAAATACGACTGCACGATCATCCGTCAGCATATGGTCAATTTCGTCACAATTAAGTCCCTGCTCTCCCGCTTTCGTATTTGGTGACTACAATCAACCTGTTTTGCAGTGGCGCTTTACAGACAGTGGCACACCATTAATTGATCCACTGTTTTCGCATATGCCGGTTGCTTGCTGTGCTCTTTTGGGCGGTTTTAACTTTTACGGGTTCACACAAGTGAATACTTTTCCGAACCAAAATGGACGTTTGCTAGATCTTGTCCTGGCAAATGATTCCGCACTACCGGGCACTTCTGTTTCCTTGCCGGTTGAGCCACTGATTGATCTAGATGCCGATCATCCCGCTCTCGTCGTGTCATTTAGTTTACCTAAGCCGATTCTTTTTACGCCGTCATCTGAGTGCTACTCTTTGGACTTTCGCCGGGCCGATTATGTTGCATTGAACAATGCGCTTGCGGAAATTGATTGGCAATTTATCGAAACTGCCGCTAGCGTGAATGATGCAGTGGATTTTTTCAGTGCTGCACTGGAAGATGCTATTTTCCGCATTGTCCCAGCTCGACGACCTCCGCTAAAGCCTGCATGCTCTACCCCACGCCTACGCGTGCTAAAACTTCAACGCTCTGCCGCCCTCCGAAAGTATTGTAACTCTCGCTCGCCGTACTACAAACGACTGTTCAATTTTGGCGAGTCGTAGTTATCGAAAATACAATCGTTTTCTCTATAATCGACACGAGAGACGCACGGAAGCGAACCTTCGCACGAATGCGAAAAGTTTTTGGTCGTTTGTCAACTCCAAACGGAAGGAATCCGGGTTGCCTTGTTCCATGTTTCTCGGGAATGACTCGGCTTATAGCGACTTGTTTGCTCGTCATTTCAAGCAAGTGTTTCACGATTTCTCCGCTTCGCCAACACAAGTGCTGGATGCTACTGTTGGGATGCCACGTGATGTGTTTAGTTTCGTTATTCCGGGCATTTCAGAAGACATGGTGATAGCCGCAACACGTTCTAAAACGTTGTGTAGCCAATCTCTGCCTTCCACTTGCGAGGCTATTCAATCTCTCGGCACAGCAATGTGAGTTCCCCTGCCGCTGGAAACTTTCTTATCTGTTCCCAGTGCGCAAAAAAGGAGATAAACGCAATGTCATAAATTATCGTGGAATCACCCCCCTGTGTGCCTGCTCAAAACTGTTCGCACGCTGCAAAAATTATATCGATACAGAACAACACGGTTTCTACCCGAAGCGCTCCGTGTCCACGAACCTGGTGCAGTTCACTTCTAACTGTCTGCGATGCATGGATTCAGGATGGCAAGTCGATGCTGCGTATATGGATCTAAAAGCTGCATTTGACACGGTGAACCATAATATCTTGCTGGCCAAGCTGGAGATACTTGGCATCTCGTCAACTGCTGTGGATTGGTTCAGATCTTACTTGGTGAATCGCTATGTACATGTCAAGATTGGCGCGTCGGAATCGGATGTTTTCTCAAACAACTCGGGAGTCCCGCAAGGCAGTAACCTAGGACCGCTACTTTTTTCGATCTTTTTAAACGATGTCGGCTTGCTGATACCATCAGGATGCCGCGTTTTCTATGCAGACGATACGAAAAACTACAAAATTATTAAAAGCCTCACGGACTGCTGGGATCTCCAGAATATGTTAGGTATTTTTGCTGACTGGTGCTCAAGAAATTTTATGAGTCTAAGCATAGAAAAATGTAACATTATTTCCTATCACCGAAAAATCGAACCAATCATGTTTCACTATGTTCTCTACGGACGCTGTCTTGCTCGTGTAGAGCACATAAAAGATCTCGGCGTTACCTTGGACTGCAGACTCACTTTCAGAATCCACTACAATGACATCATCTCCAGAGCTAATCGACAATTGGGCTTTATTTTCAAAATTGCCGACGAGTTTCGTGACCCGCTATGTCTCAGGTCACTTTACTGCTCGCTTGTGCGATCCTTATTGGAGTCAAGTTCAGTTGTTTGGTGCCCTTTCCATGCTAGCTGGATCACTAGAATTGAATCCGTTCAACGCAAGTTTGTGAGATATGCTCTTCGTTTCCTCAACTGGCGTGACCCAACGAACTTGCCACCGTACGAGGAGCGTTGCCGTCTCCTGGGAATCGAGCCATTAGAGGTGAGACGGACGGTCGCTCAATCTATGTTCGCTGGAAAGCTGCTTACAGGTGACATTGACTGCCCAACACTGCTGTCACAGCTAAATATGTATGCCCCTGAGAGGTCTCTTCGTCAACGCGACTTTCTGTTTTTGGAACCACGGAGCCGGAATTATACACAACACGAGCCAATTCGAGCAATCAGCCGGCAATTCAACAACTTTTTTTATATGTTCGACTTCAATGTATCAGCTGACGTGTTTCGTCATCGGCTTCTTGGCCTTTTCCGTACCGTTGACCGTAACTATTTAGTTTAAGTTTTATTCATTTAGACAGTAATTGTCAGTTGAATTTTTCAATAAACAACAACAATAAACAACAATCAATTTCCCGGTTTTCCCATTTTTCTCTGGAATTTGAAAATTTTACCGGTTTAGCGTTATACATTTGAATTAAGCATAAAACTGAATGCCTTCGAGCCGAAGATTAAGGGTCATTTCTAAGACAGCAACACCTTTGCTGGACCTTGAATTTGGTTCTACGACACGTTCGAAGTCTTCGCTCAAAACTTGTGCATGTTTAGTAAACAAATCATGTCTTCTTCTTCTTCTTCTTGTTGTTGTTGTTTTATTGTTTTATTGTTGTTTTACATCAACAGGCTGGATGAAGCCCCAATGATTTTAACCTTATCAACTATGGTAAAAAAAAATACATTCAAGCATGGTCATAACATAAAAAAAAAACATTAAAAAACGTATATCTTATAGTCAATATCTTAACTCCTGCCGACGAAAAACAGAAGAAAACTTTCGACGAAGCGCATCACGGGAGAGATGAAAGTCGAAAACAGATGCAACTCTGTTCAATGTTCTCTGCAGTCCGCAAATCGCACCGTACGCTCCATAATTTGTGCGACGTAGAGGCAGTCTTAGCATAAGGTTATTACGAAGCGGTCGGGGTTGAACATTCAGGTCAATTTATCTCAGGATAGCCTCACAATCTGTCCTTCCTTGTAGGATATTGGCCACGGTTAGGGCTCTGCTTGTGTCTCTTCTAGTCCGGAGAAGTTCTAGGTCGATAAGTTGACAACGACTTTCGTAACTTGGTAATCGAAACGGATCATTCCAAGGCAATCTACGCAACGCAAAACGAAGAAAGCGACGTTGAACAGATTCAATTCTCTCGGCACCGTTGTTGTAGTTTGGGTTCCAAACCGCTGAACAATACTCAAGCGTCGATCGAACAAGCGAACAATAGAGAGATTTTAGGCAGTAGATATCAGTGAAGTTTTTAGCTATCCTAAAAATGAACCCTAAAGTTCTTGACGCCTTATCAACAACATATGCAATGTTTTGCTTGAATGAAAGCTGCGAATCCAAGATCACACCCAAGTCTTTCACCTGATTCACGCGTTCGATTGTCGAGCCAAGCAGTCATAGCTAAATATTATCGGTTGTTGTTTTCGCGAGAACGTAATAGCGGAGCATTTGGCTGTGTTCACTACCATTCTGTTTAACCTGCACCAACTAGCGAATACATTCAGTTGACAATGAAGAAAGTGACAGTCAGCAATGGAGCAGATTCGTAGAAAGATTTTGAGGTCATCTGCATATGATAACCGAGGAGCTTCGATCACCAGATGCACGTCGTTGAAGTACAGTATACAAATTAACGGTTCCATGTGGCTTCCCTGAGGTATACCTGATGTGGCGAACAAGCTAGCTGATCTGAAATCTCCGGTAAGATATGATCAAAACCAACTCAGAAGATTACCGCATACACCGAGCCTGCCGAGTTTAGCAATCGCAATAGCATGGTTCAACTTGTCGAATGCATGCGGATAGGTCTGAATAGATAACGTCCGTTTGAACCCGATCCGACATGCTTTCGGTTATATACGATGTGAGACACAGCAGATCGGTAGTTGTAGAGCGGCCGACAGTAAACCCATGTTGATCAGCACTCAAATACTGCTTGCAATGGGACAGCAACGGTTCCATAATCACTAGCTCGAATAGCTTCGAAACGACACTTAACGATGTAATTCCTCGATAGTTATCCACAGCTCGTTTCCTTCCTTTTTTGTGGACGGGAAACATGTGCGCAAATTTCCAGATGGAAAAATGCCACCTGAGAGAGACATTCGGAACAGGCGAAGAAGCGGAATTAACAAGCTAGCAATATGTCTCTTCAAAAATACAGATGGAACTCCATCAGGTCCAGGATTGAAGGATGACTTGAGCAGAGTCGCGGCCTTAGAAATCATTTCTGCATTAACATCAATTGCACCCAGCGTTTGATCGTTTACTGGAACGTTCCTGGCAGCCAGGTTAATATGGTCGTCAGTTAGTGTCTCATTAGTGACTACACTGGCAAACTTTTCGGAAAAAAGGTGGCATATATCCTGAACAGTGGCAGCAACTTCTCCGTTGAATTCCATAGACGATGGGAGGCCGGATTCCCTGCGTTGCTCGTTCACGTAGTTCCAAAAGGATTTCGGGTGTAGCTTAAGTTTGCGCTGACTCGCTGGTACATGTGATTTAGCCTCACATAATGTAGTTTCAGAGGAAGCGTGCGATACTTCGTAAATCTTCTCAATGATTGACTTCAACCTACGTAGCTCTCTCGTCACTTTGTGGTGAGTTCTTTTCGGGACGTGTCTTTCAATGACATATGCCAAGACATGTGAAAAGGTTTGCGCTGCAGCCTCAAAGTCATCTGGATCAAGGATTTTCTCCCATACCATGCTAGACAATACATCTATGATGCTACGGTGGTCAGCTTTACGGAAGTCATAAGAAACCGTAGCAGTATAGTCGCCGAAATCACGCACGAGTTCTTCTTCGCATTTCAAGCCTACTGTTTATCGCATATTAGCTTATTGTGTGCTCTCAACTTAATGTTCTAGATGCACTTCCACTGTTATGAATAGAGAGCTTTCGAGGCCTGTACCAATGTTGCATTAATTTAATTGTGTGGCAAGGCAAGTACAATCATACTCAGTTAAGCCCAAGGCAGTCGAGTCCAGTCCGAAAATTTCCTAGATCGGACCGGGAATCGAACCCAGCCACCTCCAGCTTGGTCTTGCTTTGTAGCTGCGCTTTTACCGACTGAGCTAAGGGAGGCTACATTGTGCCACAAGGCTTTTTTTTTCCTTTGGTTTGTTTTCCGTCGATCTTGTTTTCCGTGCTGAGCACCAATGCTACAGACGCCAGAGAGGCAGCTCCCACACCTGGACCCTACCTATTGACCCATCAACTCATGAACCGGGGACCAACGGCTTTACTTCCCTACGTGATCAGAGATGTTATGCCTCAGAACAACCCGGCGGCGCCAACTGGGATTGAACCCAGGCCTGCTGGGGTGAGAGGTAATCACGCATACCACTACACCACCGGCGCCGCTATGTCACAAGGCTTAAATTACTTCTACTCAATACACTGATAAAAGACTTTTTGGGGACGAAACACTGAAAAAGAACTGCATCTCACCGCTACATCAGCTTCACTCAAAACACCATTGCAATTTGACGCTTTCTAGATGCTATATTATTTACGTATCCGTCGTAAATGCCTTTCAATTTTACGCAAACTGCTTCTTACCGGTTAAGAACTAATATAACTATGTACAAACTGATTTTGGCAAAATCAATGATCCTCTCATCTTCCCCTCGTAGCTAACCGCTAACTTACCGCAGTATGCTCGATCTAGCTCATTGTCATCTTCACTTATCATCATAGTTTTAGAATTGCACTAGTACCTTGTTGTGTACTATCCCTCCTTTTTTCCACCAGAATAGAAATACAGCAGCAGCGGTTGTTAAAATCTCCACCTAACCTACCACTCTGCCTCAACAACTTAAACACTGACAGACAGACACATATTTGTGTTCGTAATTACTTTACAACGGGTTTGAATTCTTCTAATCCGAACTGACGATGATGGCTACCTATCAAATTTCTCTACACACCACGTGCATCATGAGTTCAATTAAAGAAACATCCCATCTTCCCTTTTACCTAAGTAGAGATCGCGTCTGCTTTTTTACAATTTTGACTAGCTAACTAATCCGAGTGAGTCACCTCCGGACTACTGTACGGGGGTAAGTAGTGCAAGCTTCGCTGATCCAACACTCAAATTGATGGCAAACTAAACGCAAAACTCGTCACTATTCTTCCGGTGAACCATTACGAAAGATGAGCTTTTTTTTTTTTTTGTTATGAGCGCACCTTTAGCATCGCGTCTCCAGAATCGGATCGTTGATCTTCGAGTGCGATGAAGCACGTTTCTGCGTAGATTCGATTGCCGTTGCACTAGGGGCACTGCCACCGCTGCCACCTCCAACGGCTATCGATCCACCGCTTCCGCCGGCCTTCTTCTTGTCCAGTGGAATCGTTTCGGTCATGAAACTCGGCGTCGTTTGGGTAAAGTAGCCGGCACTGCTGTACTTGTTCATCTGTTCGCTCAAACGGCGAATGTTCAACTGCAGCTCGTCGTCTTTCTGCGAGGGGGTGGAAAAACTATGCCGCGGTTGCAGCAGATTCGGATTCAGCACGGTTAGGGAGGCTTTGACCAGCTCCGGTTGCGATTGGGTTGGCTGCTGATGGCTTTGCTTTGGCTTTGGTGATGGGAGAAAGCTCAGCTTTGCCGAGGGTTGTTTCTTGCTGGTGGGAGAGGTAATACTCGTTGTAGATCTGTGGATCGCGGAATGATCACACTTGTGGTGATGGTTGTTGTTGTTATTGTTCAAATGCTGTCGACTACGGGAATTGGCTTCGAAGCAAGTACATTTGGCACCGTTGATGTTGGAGTTGCTGGCATTCTTTTCGATTTTCAACGAAGATACCGATTTATCCTTGGTGAGAGTCTTTTCCTTATCCGTCTGGAAGAATTCCTCGTAGAATGCCGGGGACTTCGAGCGCTGCAGTTTTGGTCGGGTGATTTTCTTGCGGGCGTCAAAGTGCAGATCTATTCCCGGAATGGTCAGATTCTTGTCGAATTTGGTCAGCGAACGTTGCTGGCATAGGCGCGGCTTTCGCGAATCCAGTTCATCCCGGCTAAGGGAACTACCTAGTGATTTGGTCTGATGCGGTAGCGATCCCTTCTTCTTAATATGACGTTCGTTCAGCGTGATATTGGAGCGCCATACCCAAGGGTCTGTATCTCTCATATAGTCCAAATTCGGCTTGCTGAAAGACTTGCTTTCCAATTTTTTAGATTTGTGCTCTTTCTTGGCAATCGGAGCCGGCGAGTTACTAGAAGACATCCGAGTCCACGGATCCGATGGAACATACACCAAGCAACTGGTACTTCGATTGTTGGCATTTTTCATGTTACCATCATCCAGCTTCAGGCTACCATGGTCCGACAAATTCGGAGAAGTCGTCTCACTAAAAGCCTTTTTCTGAATCAATACAGCTTCCTCTTGCTTCTCCTCTTTGTGCTTCTCTTTAATTTCATCAAACTCTTCGTTCGGTGAAAGTTTCACCGAAACGATATCGTTCTCGTCCGACACCATAATCGAGTGCTGATGCTTGATGGGTGGCCTCGGAGAAAGGCTCCGTGTTGTCCGCAGCATCTTTTGCGGTTTACTTTCCCCCAGAGAGTTCGACTTCTCCAGGACACGATCATTCTTGACCGGTGTCAGCTTATTCGGACTCATCTTCGGACTCGGTTGCTTCATCGGACTAGTTGCCATACTCTTACTGTTGCCATTATTGATACTCAACGAAGACAGCCGCTTGTAGTGACTCTCGGTCCTGGGCGAGCAAGCAAAATCAAACTTGGTATCCGTCGATGCCTCCGCTCTAGGGCTTTTCGGACTCTTTGGGCTACGTGGGCTCCTCGGTTCCAGCGTCCGCAAAGGACTGTTCGACTTTGGCGAAGTCGATGCGTCTTTAAACTTGGATGAATTGTACTTCTTCTGGGCGCGTTGACTCTCGCGCGAAGTAGACCCATAACTGCACTTCTTGCAGGTACTTCCGTTGAGTGAATTCGGACTGTACACTGCACAAGTGCATTCATCCGCAGTTGCGCTCCTATTCAACAGATCCAAACTCTCCGTACTGGCATTCCTCTTGGCCGGCTTTACCGTGACCGGCGGCGCTTGATGGGGGTTTTCGTACGATGCCAGCTCCTTCCGAACCGTGCTGCTAATAGTGCTATGTCCATGATGAGATCTTTGATTTCTAGCCTTGCCGCAGTTACAATTGTATGCGGTGCTAGGCCCCGGTAACGAATGCTATAACAACTTGTCGCTGGTAGAAGCAGTTGCACCGCTCGAGGTACTACTGCGGCCACCGGCGGACTTGGTCGATTGCGCATCATGGCCGGCAAGCGCTTTTTCCACCGAACTGCTCGACTCGGCTGCAGTCACTTTGGATCCGGATGCTCGTTTCGGACTTTTGGTACCGGGATTCGATGATGATGATGAAGATGATGCTGCCGCTGCTGGTGGTGGAGGTGGTGGCGGTTGGCCAGGAGCGTTCTTTAATTGTCAGTTGTTGAGCTCAACCGAGATGAACTTCTTCAGTCGGTCCAGGTATTGGTTGTACAGCTCGACGTCGTTATGGCCGGCTCCCTGCGAGGGGGAAGAAGAGAAGGAAACAAGAGATAAGACTGGAACTGGAGTACAAATAAAAACGAAATGTATAAATGAAATCCATGAGCGCTTATGTTTTGCATTTGCAATATTTCGGAGCATCGATTGGCAAAATTTGAGCACTCAAGAAGTTTGACCACCCCCTGACGATAATAAGTAAAGGTATGGCAAAAGCCGTAATTTAACCTTCTTCTTCTTTCCTTTATTTAACGTCGGTCTCTGTTCCGCAATCCAGTGCCAATCACCGACGGATATCGATTGCCATCCATTGACGGCATTCGAATGTGCAGGAAGGCAGTTTCCACACCTGCGTAGGATATCGCGTAATTTAACCTGAACCTAAAATCCGAAGAAAATTCTTTATGGGTAGTCCCAGTTTCCCTCGAAAATGCTTCCTTTGTAGCCATTATTGGCAGTGCTGCGAGCTGTCAACAATGTCAACTGACGTAAGATATCGGTCTAGCACTGAATTTATCAAGCTTTGACATTAATATCACCGACAAACCGACATGATCCTTAAACTTAAGTCTTGATCGAGAATCCATAACGGCCGATTCAAATATGCAGCGATCCCATCTGTCAAAACCATAGACTTCTCTGACGTTTGTGAAATGCACAAGTATTAGTGCAGAACTCGGGGTAAATTATAAGTATTAGTGTAAGAAAACCTTTGAATTTACCCAACCGAGTTTCGAACGCCTTTGGATACGGTTGTGTTTAAATTTGCTCTCTGTTTTGTGCGTGCATTCTCTTTCATAGTTTTCGGCTGCATTTGCCAGATTAGCGCTGGTACTCTGCCTCCCGGACGGTTATACGTGTGTGAGTGGTGGTTTTCTCGCTTTCCGAGAAGTTTTAGAATCGAGAAAGAAAACATGATTCATTATGTTTGCAAAATTGCAAGCATCAGAAGATTTGGCGCAGCGTGGTTTGATTGTTTCTCCCGGACCAGAAATTTGTGGCATCGCGAGTGAAAATTTTAATTTCTGTTTATTTACGCGGTGATGAGCACGGCGCTGATCTATTGTTAGGGTTTTGCGATGTGCACGGAGTGTCTTGAAAAAGAAAAGTGAAGAAAAGTGATATTTGGTTGTTGTGTGGTTATAGTGGAGAGAAAAATATGCGTGGAAGCATCGGGAATGCGCTCCCGGGTGAAGTGATTTGGTGAGTACGTTCCAGTTGAAGATTGTTGACAAGTGTATTTGTGGTGATGCAAAAGATGGCGCATGGCTTCAAACATTTTGTGTATCCAAATAAAACATATTACATACTAAATACGCACAGGCCATCGTCTGCTGACCATTGCCGCGGGTATATCGTGGGAGTCCCAGGTACCCGGTTCAAGCTTTAGTTGGCGGCGGTGGCTCTTCTTGACCTTCTACCCCCTGAGTAGTTAGTATGAATAAGGGCGTCTATGTGATGTTTTGCTGTACCTGTTGTGGACATTTAGTGCATCCTGTTCCCTTAACTTGTTGAGGACACCCTGTCTTGCCTCAAAAGTTACCCTTTTTGAAGTAGTAGTCTTCACAACATAAAGAGCACCATTACGGAGCATGAGATTTGACCAAATTATTCGCAGTTCTACTTGTCCAAAGCCCCCGGCTGGGTGAGGGATAGAAGATGACACACACACACACAAGAAAACCTTTGAATTTACCCAAAGTTCTTTTTTTTTTTTTTTTTTTTTTGTAGTGATCCTGTGGCAGCAACTTGCTAAAACTCTACACTGGACCCCTTTTATTAATAAATTTTGCTTCTATGAGCCTCTATTTTAAATCAACACACAGACGTTCCTAGGCTATGGTGCCCGTGTGGTCACTGTTGTTTTTGTGCTGATCCAAATAGTTTTGATAATATAATTGCGCATTCTTGTTTTTTTAAAAGGTTGATTTTCGTCCCAGTCTTGTCTTCTGTCGTCACTTATTTTGTCATTTTGTCTTGAGTATTAACCCCCACTTGTCTTGTTTATTGTGTCAACTTGTGTCTATTGTCCTTCCCCATCTGTTACTCTGTCATGACTAATTTCATTGATATATAAAAATAGTAATATCAATTACAGGATAATATGGTTATTTCTCGATTACTTTTTCAAAGGGAAGCACCAGCTTCTGCAAACAGTGCATCCGATCGTCGATCCGGCGCAACCGGCATCTCGCACACGCTTATCAACACCACCAACAGGTAGAGGAAAATTTCCCCTATCTGATGATAGTGCCAGCACGCGCGGGCGAGCCATCAGTTACGCCAAATCGACGACCAAACGCACCGCCTACAAAAGCCGATACGCTCCCTTGAAAAAGTTATCGAGATTTCTACTAATTAATGAATTATTGACAATTACCTCTCATGATCCTTGGCTCTGATTTTAACTTACCAATTTTTGATTATTTATCAAATACCTCTCCCAGAATATATAACTCCCCGATGCTTTGTTGGTTTCTGGTCTCATTTGGATTGGTCCTGAATTTGTTTGACATCCTGTTCGAAGTAATTCTTTGAGTTCCAGCTTGTACGTGTCTCACGTCATATGATTCGCCATTCATAAAGATAATGGGTAAAAAGGGAGTAAAACATACATAAAGGTAGATTAGTATTAGTTGTACTTGATCCAAACAATAGAAAGAAGCATAGATCACTTAGTAGAAAAATAAAACTAATAAATAACTAAAATTGCAATGGATAAGTGTTAGTTCCGGGATCATTTAAGTGTTAGTAGTTATGTTAGTTTTGATCCGTATTCAGCCCTGCTGGCCCCTCAAGCACTATTTGCAGCAATTGTGATAAGATTATGCGACACTGCTACTACTACTATGTTAGATGTATGACTTGTCAATTTTCGCAACGCAATGTCTTTCAATAAATCACTCAATCAATTTGATGTTTGAAAATTTGCTCAAAAGGGCTTTGTTGACACATCATACCTTACCGAAAACTAAAGCACAACAATCCTAATTCTTATTTCAAACCTATCAACATATTTAACACATCTTTCCTAAAATTTCACTTGTTCGTAAGCGCCTGGTTGAAGATATGACTTTCGCTATTGACATTGTCTGTAATTAACAAATACACTAAATAGGAAGATTTATTATACAACTTCATAGGCTAGTCGCCTCCCTAAGCGGACCCCCCGCGTCCTATCTCTTATGTTAATTAACTTTCTGAATTCTATAATTGAAGTTTATTTAATAAATAACTGAAATCTCTAATCTACCTACATAACCCATGCTTTTAAACTACAATTTAACGTGTTTCAAGTACTTCTGGCTTTTACATATCTTATCTTATATCTTTGTTCGTCCCAGATGACACCTTCAAGTGACTAAAATGCTTCACTTTGAAGTTAGTTTCCAAGCTAATTTTAAATTGTATATTGTATAGGGTAAATGTTCCAACTACGCTCTCACGTTTCCACTATGTGGCACCACAAAAATACATATGGGTATGTCACAATAGAAGCACACCACAGTGGAAATCCCGAGCCATAGTTCAAACACTTATCCCAAATCAAAATGAAGCACATATAAGATTAGTTACAATACCATGTACAAAAATGATGTTTAACATTGTTTTCTGAGTAATACTTCAATGAAAACAACAATGAAAGCTTGTCACGCAAATAGAAGGAGCACTGTTGGGCACTTTCTGAAATATTTCAATAGTATAATTCCCTTGCAAACCCAAATAAATCTCTCTGCGTAAAAAATAAATAAAATAAGAGTGATTTGCGGCAAAACCCGCCAGTATCACACCCAACGTCAGTGCCTATACGTAAGCGTACTACGACGCGGCTCTCAATAAAAGGAGTAACAAGTGTGATACTATCACTGCTAGACTAGATCTTTGGTTCTCTCATGCAGCGGTTTATCAGAGAGGGGAAGCTTAGTAATCCCCATCGCCTGCCCATGTCGCCATTCTATCGCGGCATGAGCCAGCAACGCCGACCATAAACCTACCGTCTCCAACACTCCACTATAAAGCATGAAATTAAGCCCGCCCACCAACAGCAAGGTGCAAAAACTAGCCAAGGGGAGGGCCTTTGAATTTACCCAAAGTTCTGCACTAATACTTGTGCTATTCACAAACGGCAGAGAAGTCTATAGAAATGTGTTATCTAGATAAAAATAATTTGTCCGAAATAGATTAGCCACGAACAAACTCATAAATTTTGTACGCGTGTTCGTGGCTAGGATACATATTTTCCGCGAACACGGCGGCAGATGTCAGTTTAGTGCTTTGATCAGAAATTTCTTTGTAATTTGTATGATCATTCATGTGGGTTTGTCGGTGATAAAATGCTTCATTCCGAGATTAGTCTGGTAGGGTTAACTACCCCATTTCCGGCCTATTAAGCACAACCCGCTCTTAGTCTTTCTTAATCTAGCGCAGTTAAGCACCAAACGGGATGTTATTATTACTGATGGCTTCCAAATTTATTTACCTTTCCGTACGTACCAAAAGATTTGATAAAGAGAAACCAATCGTTGAGATGGGTTATACGGTCAAAATTTGGTCAATATCAACTTGACGTATTTCTTTAAATTTTGCATTTAAAAAACCTGAACACCCCTCATTTTGAAGGTGTGTGTGTGTAGAATGTTGCTCCTATTTTGATTTTGGAATTCACTCTTCAGTTGTCAAAATGCCGTCCAAGCAAGAAGAGCAGCGTATCAAAATTTTGCTCGCGCATCGCGAAATCCGAGCTACTCGCACGCAAAGTTGGCAAAATCGCTAAAAGTTGCCAAATCAACCGTTACAAATGTAATTAAAGTGTTTGGGGAACGTTTGTCGACAGCCAGGAAGTCTGGATCGGGGGGAAATCGAAAACCGGAAGCCGCTGAGACGACAAAGAGAGTTGCCGGTAGTTTCAAGCCAAACCCTAACCTCTCTCTCCGAGATGCCGCAAATAAGCTGGATGTATCGTCTACAACCGTGCATCGAGCCAAAAAACGAGCCGGACTATCGACTTACAAGAAGGTAGT